TCATCAGCTTGAGATCTTTTTTTCGAGATCGGCCTTTTTAGAGACCGCCGATCAATCATCCCAACCTGATTATCGGCCGATAATGATCGGTAGCCGATCAATCGGAGCACCCCTAGTATGTAGCGGTTGTTCCAACTTCCAACCTATTGTATTTGGGCCTTAAAGAGCTCATTTATGTTATTTCAGATCCAGATAGTGACATAAATGCTGTTCGGAGCCTTAATTTAAGTGTAGATCGGAAATTGGATAGCGTTTTCCACCATTCCTATATAATAGAACTCTGTCGAATCTTTAAAATAACAATATTCGACAAATAAAGGTGTCCGAGAATCCTGTTTTTTCCTGGTGTCCTTTATTGCTCAGAACTGAAGAGGCTGTGCCGGCTGCTGGGAAAAGGAGAATATCCTCCCCTCCTTGACTCCTCCTCCACACATCAATCAATCATTAACTCTTCCATTCATTCACCCACTCATTCCCTCTCTCTCTCTCATTATTCAAAATTAAAGGCTATTCATCATGTGATGAATGTGGTGGGACAGTAGCTGACATCTTTTTGCACTGCACAGATGTTTTATAAACAGCTCCTCAACATTGTTCACAAACTACTTTTATTCCTTTTTGTCCAGTTGTTTGTCTCTTATCATAATACAAATCAGATTGCACTGCATCAATGACTGAAACTTTGATGACAAGATCTGACCTAGGATCAGTCTTGTGAAAGGTAATGTTGACTCAAGAATACCTCGGAGGAGTGCAATTCTCTTTTAAAGAAGGCTTAGAAAACAGATGTTCCTGCATGTCTCATGCAACAACAACTCACTCTGACCCTAAAAAGACATTTACTGGAATAACATGTTAATTTAGAAGCACTTTAACCTGGTGGCAATGCTTTTTAGAATTAGTTTGACTTTTTAGCAGTTAAAGGGATTGTTCAGCCAAAATTTTCAAGGTAATTATATGACTTAGCCTATTTTTTGTGTAAAGAGGGCACCAGTCATTTGGTTTGATTTTTTGGTGATGTTTTAGATAGTTGTATTTTCATTCACAATCATTTTTATTTTATTTTATGGCAGTCTGATTCTGCGAAATTAGTTTCATAGAAGAAATAAATTTATCCACTCGTAAAAGCACTGAATGAAATATAGTAGTTTCCCACCTCATATGACAAGTTTTGCGAGCGAACGTTTCTCGGGCGAAAGGTTTGCGAGAGAATGCAAAAATATAATGTTCGTCCCGCTTCATTTTTTTCCCAGGTCACAAAAAAAAAAATATTCAATTAAAGTTCCAAGAGGTCTGGTCTGTAAAAAAAAAAAAAAAAAAATCAGTTTTGTCTATGTATAAATGTTTGATCGAATATTTGAAGAATTAAATCCACGTCACGCGTTACCTCAGGTTCCTTCAGGGAGCATGCGCACAACGAAATTGAGTTACGAGCGTAATATCTAGTTATGTTTATAAAACAGACTTCATAAAACAGTACTGGTACGATTTAGGTCCGACTAAATTATTGCTGACTGACATTGAGCTTTTAAAGCACAGGTAAATGCATACAGATTTGTACTCAATCACAGAAGCGAGACAAACTAAACTGGAATTTGAGATTTGCTCTGGATTGACTGTGTGTGCAGTGCAGCGGTTAACGTCAGCCAGCAGACAAGCATCAACACGTGCGCGGTACACGCCCTAAACTTAAAACGGGTCATTATTTAATGACAGTTTCTCCTTTATGTACAGGAGGGCTGTTGTTCAACACGGCACGGACTAAAGCAGGTCAGATGTGTCGTGTTTTATGCACTTGTGTGTAAAGATCCTGCTTGTAACAGGACATCATTCTTGCATTTCACCCCAGTGTCATTTTGGCAGGAGTCAATAAAAGGTCTTAGAAAGAGAACTGAAATTAGTTATTTTTTAGACTACTTCCCTAAACACAAAAGAAACACAGGACCAGCTTGCCCCGACCTCTAGAGGGCAATATAGCACAATATAGCATATGACTCAAGCTACTTTATGTTCTTATTTTCCATTATTTTGAGTATTGTCAGGTAATAAGCTTTTATATATGAAGGAGCTAGTAGTGATATTGATGGAAAATGTCTTCTGAGATCCTGCAATGTTATACGAATTATTTTATCAAGTCCACTACAGTGTACAGTGAGTGAGCTTCTAGCATCAACACTAATACGTTTTATCTTATGAGGAAGTTATTATATTTGCGCTGTTCTCACCACAAGAAATGCCACATAGTGAGAGTCACCTAAATGCAAAACTTCGTTTTTAATTTGAAAAATAAAATAAAATAAAGGAATTATATTATTTATTCATTTTTTTATCATATGTATTTTGTTTTTTATCATGCGTTGCATCAGTTATTTTGGCTAGTTTGATTTTACCAGGTCTTCGTGAAACTCTGGAAACTCGAGTCTTTCAACGGACTGTTTCTCCATAAATGCAGCAACTCGTAAAATAGGCAAATATTTAATTTTGCATGTAAAATTTTTGTGCGTATGTGTGTGTGTATATATATATATATATATATATATATATAACATTGTCTATAAATGTTTATTTTTCTATAAATGTGAACAGGTAAATGTGAACACAATTCCTGCTTCTACGTTTGTTGGCATTTCAAAAGTTTTGCTGTGTACCTGTTCTTATAAACATTGCATAATGTTTCCTGTTTATCAGTTATAAACACAACTTGTTAATTTACAGTAACTTTCAGGCGATGTACCAACAGCTAACAGGTGTTTCTACAGAATGAAAGCAAGCATTATAGACATGAAAGGACATCACACTCGTGGTTTGTAGTATAGAAAACACAACATGTTCAAGGTGACTTACCACAGTGCAAACTTTCTCTCGTGTCTCCGATTTGTAGCTTGAGAAGGTTGGAAATCTTCGGTTTGATTAAATATTTACCACATCACTTGAGCGTGCTAGCAGTCCACAAAAGTAGTTTCATGCCGGTTTACCTGCTGAACCAGTTTCGTCTATTTACTTTCTCCTCACCCACCTTGAACTAGGCAAGCTCTCACTACCATGTGATTCTTTTCACTGTCTTTGTCCTTTCTAAGTCACTATACAGCTTCTGTCTTGTGTGTGTGTGTGTGTGTGTGTGTGTGTGTTTGCTTTGGTGTACAAGTCTTGAATCACTTTGCCGCTTCTGCTTTCATTTTAGAGGAAGTGTTCATAACACAGAAGAACCGAAGTGAACTGTCAAACAGCAGTGAGGGGATTTCCTTATTTCAAACTCTGGTGCCTATCAGGCCTTTCCCTTACAGGTGATTCTGCGGAAATAAACGAAGCTGTACCTCACAAAGTTTGCTCACTGAGATGATAAAAAAAATTATATTACCATCACTGAAAGGTGATTTAAACAAGTGCATTTTTAAATTCAGCACATCTTTGTGAGCACACAAACTGGTCAACAAAGAACAGCAAGTGCAGTTTTTTTTTGTAACATCTGCTGAATCATTCGTTACCACATGTAGCTTAATAAGCATTTCCGTTCACACCCATTTAATGATTTTTTTTTTCAAGAATATTTCAAAGTGAAAGTTTTCACTTTCATTATTAATTTTCATCTAAGATTATTCTAATCTTGGCAGACCTGCTTCCATTATTGCAATAAATACTGTGAATGCCTGAGAACAGCTATCGGTGAACTAATTTTAGTAATACTTTATCATGTTGCCTTTGACATTAAGCAATTGCAGTTGCATATTTTTGAGGGGAAATATTTGTCTATATTTTTTATTGAGTGGATTGGTGTGAGATTTAAAAATATCTCCTTATTTTTTGCAACTTTTGATATGGCATTTTGATGGCTTACACAATTTTTGCACTATTTTTGGAGTGAGACATTTCCAGAAAATGCTGAATAACAGATGCCTTGGCAAAGCTTTCACAAGTTTTTTAATGCATCTGTATTTGTAGAATCAGATAAAGTACCCAAAGTTTATTTCTGAAGACTTTCCATTAAAAATAATACTTAAATATTATTGTTATTCTTTAAACCTCACAGGAACTACTTCTGCCTGATGAAGAGTCTGTGGAGAAGCGCTGCGCTCTGGGGAAGGGTGGAAGATCCAGGGAGAGTGAGCTCAAGTCTAGATCCTAACAGAAGACAAGAATAGTGATATAACAGGTCCCCCTGATACATTAATGTTATAGATGTCAATGTGGCCATTTATATACATCAAGCATAGCATTAGTTCTGGCATGTCACGTTAGTCAAGCTCGCATCAGCTGACTCTCAGCTGATCCCCATCTACCTATAGGAATACGACACCTATCTAAGCACTCATATATAAGGTCCCTCAGTATTATCAGCAGTTTTCGCATTGCTCAATAGCTAATGACCCTCCTCCATCCCCAGCTCCTCCTCTGTCAGTCAGGATTCAGCCTTCGGATTCTCCTTTGAATCAGACTAATTCTAAAATGTGTACATAAAAGTATTGAACTTTAACGATATCTGCAATACATTTATGTTGGTTCTGTTATGTTTACCCTGGATGGGGGTTATAGCTGCTCTCCCTGCTCTCATCCATGCTAGGCTGCATGGATGCGCAGGGAGTTCTTGCCCAGAACAGAACCATACCGCCAATCCAAACTGTATGCTAATTGTCAATCATCTTTGACGATAGTGTCCTGACAGAAATGCTCTATATCAGGGTTTCTGATATAGAGGGGTTTTGTGAGTTAATGAACAGCTAATAATTAAATCATTAAAATGTAAGATTCAAATAAATAAATAATTAACAAATAAAAATAACCTAAATAAACACTTCTAAATATTTTATTTGTTTACCTGCATGTCATGTGACCATTTACCAACATAAAAGTATCATGAAAATGCAAATGCGTTACATTTTTTAAATATTAAGGTAAATATTAAAGCAGATATTTTAGGGTTTGACTGATAAAAATGTTTAGGAATCTTTGATCTAAATAAACAATGCAGACAAACTGGTTGCTATTAAGCTCTTAAGAAATATTCAGATGGTTGTACTAGCCTCATCTGTAAAGAGTGACATTTCCTTCAGCTCAGGGTGAAAGTATGGAGTAACGATATGGTGTCTGAGTGCGTTTCTGTGTCTTCTCTGCTCCTGGAGTTCTTGCCTGAAGGTTGGGCAAACAAAACATCTATGCATCGCCCTCTTTCTTTCTGAAAACTAAACCATTCGAACAGAATAACTGTTTACCTGTGCTGGTTAATCCTGTTTTCCCACAGTGACTTTTGCTTCTTTTTATTGACACTGCAAAAGCAGAAGTTGAAAGCAAACCATGTAAGAGCAATTAGTCACTATGCTCTTTCACACCTTCTGTAACATAATGTGTGGTCTGTTTTTTTATCTACAAATACCAATCCATTGGCTGAGCAAATTTACCCACAATAAGCATGTTATTAATAACTTATTTTGGTGTATATTTTACATATTGTAGATAAGACAGGAGATTACCACTTGGTAACTTTCTCTTCTCTCTTTTCCTGTAGCTCGTGGGGATGTTGAGCTGCTCGCACTGCTTGAGTATAGAGAGACGCCACATCAGCTGCGACAGGAACAAAAACAGGCAAACAGTGAGAGCTTCACTATGAATGGCAGAGTTTAACAGAGCTAAAAATAATCTAGTAGTTAAATGCCATCACAAATTCTTATTCACTTTTTTTTGTATTGCTATTTACTACACTCTCAGAAAAAAAAGGTACAAAGCTGTCACTGGGTCTTTGCGTCACTATGCTCTTTCACACCTTCTGTAACATAATCTGTGGTCTGTTTTTTTTATCTACAAATACCAATCCATTGGCTGAGCAAATTTACCCACAATAAGCATGTTATTAATAACTTATTTTGGTGTATATTTTACATATTGTAGATAAGACAGGAGATTACCACTTGGTAACTTTCTCTTCTCTCTTTTCCTGTAGCTCGTGGGGATGTTGAGCTGCTCGCACTGCTTGAGTATAGAGAGACGCCACATCAGCTGCGACAGGAACAAAAACAGGCAAACAGTGAGAGCTTCACTATGAATGGCAGAGTTTAACAGAGCTAAAAATAATCTAGTAGTTAAATGCCATCACAAATTCTTATTCACTTTTTTTTGTATTGCTATTTACTACACTCTCAGAAAAAAAAGGTACAAAGCTGTCACTGGGTCTTTGTACCTTAATTTACCCCTAAATTATACATATTAGTACCTTAAAGGTACATACTGTATTAGTACCTTTTGAAAGGGTACCACTCCAGTGACAGCTTTTGTACCTGAGAGCGTATCTAATATTGCAGTGAACACGCTTCTCATAATTCATAATTTAAACAACACTGAGGATGATGATATTTGATGATTATTAGTTTTGAAATAAAAATAAACACTTTTTTTTCTTTTTGTAATTTAGTAATCTGTACATCAGAGGATTAAATAACTATAAATTAAGAGTTAAAATGAATTTTAAATTAAATAATTATTCAATATGATTTTATTACAATTAAATATTTAGAAATCATTTATTAATATTTCTTATTTAAATGTTCTCACCTGACAGAGGCCTTATCTCCATTGCAACTGGAGGGTCTACAGCATCAGGCAGGGACTAAAACAAAGGTTAAGTTTTAAATGTATTTAAAGCCAAGCCAGCATATACAATATATAAATATGACCTATAGACATCTGAATGTTGAATCATTAATTAATAATGATCTTGGATCCTGTCTGACCAGTACAAGCTGCAGTAGATCGTTCTGATGAACTTTCTCCTCTGCTGTACGCGGGTCCTTCAGCTCCATCTTCTCCCACTGATTCTCTCTCTGCAGCAGCTGCTCCAAATACGCCTGTTTGATAAAACCCATGGAGCAAAAATATAATTTCAGGTATATTTCTAGTATATTTTAAAATATGCAAAAATGTCCAAAATTATATTGCTAATATATATATTAAAATATATTTACATACTTTTTAGTTACTTATATTTTCTCATATATTTTGGGCCATTTTATATATTGTCAATCTAAATATATGTATATTGTCCAAAATATATAAAAATATATTTTGCATGTACACAAAATGTATTTTAAGATTGGACATTTTTTGCCCCTTGAAATATATTTTGTAATATATTTTGGCATTTGAAGGTTTAAACCAATTATATTTTTCATTTGAAAAATATATTAAGCCATGCTGTTTATAATATATATTTCACATATATTTAAAATATATCCTGGCAAGAAAAAAATACCATATGGGAATATAATAATATATAAATATGCATAGATATAAATGTGTATATTCAAACCACTAGGTAAAAACACAATTTTCAAAATCACATTCAGTAGCTGGTCAGTTGCAAAACAATGGATGTTGAAGGGAAGTGAAAAGAGAACAGTAATGGGTCTGGCAGTATTGTGGTTTTATTGTCACACTATACTATCACAGAAAAGTTATAAAAAGTTAACCTAAAAAAAACTTATTTTAAATTAGTATGTGTTATAGGAATTAGGGCACCTTGACTTTGTCTTGCAGGTTCCTGCGCAGTGCTTCAGTAACAGGTGGATGCTGGGTCATCTGACGCACCAGCAGCACATCAGGGCACTCCAAAACCGGATGGATGTGGATGGAACTAGACTTTGGCGGTTTTTCCTTCAACTCAAGACTACAACCAAGGGTAGTCCCAAAAGGCGGGCCTGGAGTCTTCTTCTAAGCACCAGACATGGAAACAAACCATCGAGGCATTATAGGTAATCCATACTAAACTGCATGCTTAAAACACAGAGACATTTCCAAACATGTTTGGGAGCAAAAAAATGATTGGATATTTAATGTGGATTTGTTTTGAGAATATAAAGCAAATTAGTTCTTTGTGCCACAGCAGGTCCAAAGTTAATACAAAAAGGAAGTTTACACCTACAATAGATCACCTATAGATTATGAATTACCTCAGATGCAGGGAATGACTCCCATTTCCTGGATTTGAGGTGTGTGGGAATGATGTCATCCTCTTGCTTGGATGAGAGCCAATGAGAGTTGATGTCTGGGCAGGGCCTTAGCAGAGTTATGCCAAATGATTCTGAAGAGAAATCAATCAGGAGAAGTATTTTACTTGCTGCATTTATGCAAACTTGCATTAAACATCATTTCAAAAGGATTGATGTTGAAAATAAAGACAGAGGTCAGTAACAGAATGCACAGGATGAATGGAAAGTGTCCTGACGTTGTGAGTCTGCTAGTGGGTCAGTGAGGATGGCGATAGAAGAGTCACAGTAAGCCTTCTGTAGGAGATCTTCCACATCTTGAGCTCTCAGCAGCTCTGAGGCTGAACAGTCCTCATGCACCACAAATAACCTCAAAGACACAACAATTATTACATTTTAAACGTCACTTGGAAAGCAAACAAAATGCAATGCAATTTTTTTCAAGCAAATACACTACTGTTTAAAAGTTTGGATTTAATGTTTTTCAAGAAGTCTCTTACACTCATCAAGGCTGATCAAACTGTATTTGATTAAAAATACAGTAAAACAATATTATGAAATATAATTACAATGGAAAACAACTGTTTTCTATTTTAACATGTAATTTAGGGCTAACCCTAACCCTAACCCACACACAGGAGAATACATCATTATCTCGCGGTTTCAAAATAAAAGCTCAAACCCTCACTCTTGAGTTTACACGTGATGTCCACATATTCATTTAATGACAGTGGCTATAGCATTTCTGTCATAAAGAAATGGCCAAATATTAAAGATTAAGTGGACATTTGAATTAAATGATGCTTGGTAAATATTAAACAAGTATTAGATCGCACAGCAATGTGTAAAAACAATCGTCAGGCCGTTGGCGCCCTCTGCAGGCCTTTGTTGTAATGCGTACTGTAGCTACATTAGCTCTATTCACTGATCTATAATAGAGATATATTATATTATATTTATATATAGATCAGTGGCTCTATTACATTATAATACAGTATTTTAACAGTTTTGTTCAATAAAACCATATGATTTCTTGCTTTTGTAGCAAAAATAGCAGATGGGCTTATTGAAAAAGCAAACTCGTTCTCTGCCAGCAGGTTTCACTTTCGAAACTGCGCATATAGTGGTTTCCCCTGTAACCGCAGAACACAAAGCTGACTGCAGCGCTCAAGTTAATTCAGTGAAATCATAGCCTTTTGAAGTTTAATCGTCATATTAATCCATATAGCAATTCTTGTCTTTCCGTCCCCAAAGACCTCTTATAATTAACATCATAAACTGAAAGCAATTTTTACCTGACTTGCTTTTCAAATGTTTTAAAATTGATCATCCGAGTCTAATATGATCCAGAGGGCCGTACTAAAAGACACTGCGGGCCGTATACGGGCCTGGTTTAGATCAACCGATTAATCGATAAATTAGTCGATAGATTAATCAAAATAAAAATTGTCGTTAGTGGCAGCCCTAATATAAATATGCACACAGCAGGCGGGCTCTAAAACCATGTAAATAAAGAATTAAACACCCTCATCGTCTAGTCGTGCTGCAATACTACTCATTAATTTCCTCCAGGATTCAGTTTGTATGCTATACACAATGTGCAGAATTAATATGCGGATGAACAATTACATGTGCAGTATACAGTGAACACTGTGTGTGAGTAACTGTAATATTGTTTAGAGACTTTCCATTTTTTAAAATAGTAATGGGCCGTTCTAAAAATAAACATTTTAATTTATTTATTTTATTTAAAAAATGTATTTATTTTCATAATTTCATTAATTAATGTATTTATTTTAATTAATTTTAAGTTGTTTGTTTTATTTATTTCATTGTTATTTTTTAAATAGTAGGTGATGTGGTATTTTAAACAAAGATTTTAATTATTTTATTTATTCTAATTAATTTTAATGTATTTATTTTTTTCAAATACTAGGTTATGTGCCATTCTAAACAAACATTTTAATTATTTATTTATTATTATTATTTATTTCTTTTAATTAATTTTTTTTATTTTAATTAATTTTGATGGATGGATGCAGCCATTACTCCAGTCTTCAATGTCATTCAGAGATCATTCTAATATGCTGATTTGCTGCTCAAGAAACATTTCTTATGTTGAAATGTTGAAAACAGTTGTGCTGCTTAATATTTTTAAAGATACTGTGATCTATTTTTTCAGCATTCTTTGATGAGTAGAAAGTTCAAAAGAATAGCATTTATTAGAAATACAAATCTTTTGTAACATCATAAATGTCTTTACTCTCACTTCTGAGAGTAAATTTTTTATTTCTTTATTAAAAAAATAATTCTTTCATACTTGCTTATTAAAAGTATTAATTATTTTCCAAAACAAATCTAACTACTTTAAATATATTTGTACAGTACTGTATTTAGACAACAGGTGTGTGTGTGGGAACACTAGCATTACATCAAATAACTGCATAAAACCAATAGCAGATAAAAATAACTAAATGGATTACATGTCTTTTTGTAATACTCATTTCTGCAGTCAATATTTTTTATAATGACCCTGTTCCTGATATCCTACATAGCTATGCTAGTTTCGTGTCAAGTCTTTTAACTTTCCAGTAAACTTTCCATAATCTCTAAGAAAATCTACTTTAAGTGACCTTGGGTGTGTATTCTGAAGGGACTTACCTGGGTGGGTGTGTTTTAAAGCCAGCATTCTGGTGAAGCTCTGTTTCTGTCTCTGGCTCTTTTGTTTCTGATCCATTAGCCGTGATAGTAACCTGCCCATCTGCATTAACCTGCATACAATATGTTCTGGATTTTTATTCAGGATGACTTGGATAGAACAGTCTGTTGTCACTTCAGTGTTGTTATTGTTAACTAAAACTAAAAATTGTTTCCAGTAATTGAAATGAAGCTGAAATAAAATATAATTATATATAATATTCGATGAACAATTTAAACTTAAAAAGCCTAAATGAAAATTATAAATATTTCCCTCGCAAGTACTTAAATAACATCATAAAATAATATTACAAAAATAATAAAATAATATTAAAAATGATATAATTATATTTAAAATTATGAAAAGTAAAAATATAAAGATAATTCAAATATGAATAAATAATAATGCTTGTCACTTTGCAACAGCCACACAGAATTGCTGAATTGTTGTTTACATCCTCTCAAGTGTTTTAAAAAAAATACATAAGTAGAAAAATACATATTCACAATAGACATTTCATGGAAAGTACTTGAAAGTGGTTCCCCTCGGGGTCTGTCACATGACATAGGACATCTGCTCTGTGGTTCATCACATATTGGCCTAGTGGGTTCCTCTCTGATCGCTCTTGAGACTGTTTAGATGTGTACACCACCCCACCATCCTTATCAATAAGAAGAACACCTCCACCATGAGGATAAATCTACAATTAAGTTGAAGAGAGGAGAGAGGATTTACACATGATGTTGCCACATACATCTCACATATTCTCCCATCCATCCTCTTACTTTATATGATCCATGCGCAGTTGCGCTGATGAAGGTGCCATCCCCGAAAATAACATCACATGCTCTTCCCTCATAGTCCATAATCACCGTTGCAAATTCAGCTTTTTCCACCCGAACCAGTTTCTCTCCTGAAATCAGATTTAATCACTTTCAGTCAACACTGTAAGAATCCTTTTATAATGTTACTGCATTAAAACACTCTTGCACCTGAGCTCAGATGTTGTTGCAGCTCCCCCTGCTGGTAGAAGGTGGTAATACGCGTCCCATCAGCGTGATCCACTATCACCGTTCCATCTTTCTTCAGCACAGACAGCACTTTGTCCTCTCTTGTGACCACAGCCTATACATGTATCATCTGTATTACAACAATCAACTATTGACACAAATGAGATGAATCACAAGACACTTACTGTCCCACTGAAGGGGTCTGTAGCATGATAGGCCAGTATCGGCTGCACTTTAACTTCCTTTCCAGCCACAGAGGCGACTCTGGAGCCAGAGGGGGTTGTGGTGGTCCAAGAGCCCCCGTTAATCTCGAAATAGTATTTTGTTCTTTCATTTTCTGTGGACTTTTGTTGCTCATCCTCTGTATTTACCTTAGAATCAGCCTTGCCTATGAGAGAAAAAAATGTTGAATATACTTAAAGTGGACATTACACAGTCTCTCTCATTCATATACTTATTAATATTCATATACTTATCAAAAGTGTGAGGTCAGTATGATTTTTTTAAAGAAATATATTTCAGCAAGGATGCATTAAACTGATAAAAAAATTACAGTAAAGACTTTTATAATGTTACAAAAGATTACTACACCAGATTTTTTTTCAGTATATATATATATATATATATATAGTGTGAATAAATAAATCAGTGTCTTAACACGTTTTCAGTAATGGTTTTCGATTTGTTTGCACTGATGTGGTATTCGCTACCTTTCTTGTCTTTGGTGTCCACTATCATCTCTTTAATAGGATCTTCCTCCTTTAGGAGTGTGTGTGGAACCAGCACACACACTGGTCCAGAGTCTGGACTCGTACTGACTGTACCATCTGTAAATAGGACCTGAAACACACACATATATTGTATACTTCCTCCATGAGGTCATTATTTCATTAGAAGTGTGCTTTTTGTGCTGTATTATGTGGCATAAAAAGTGCACATGCAAGCGTGTGTATATGTGAATACCTCAGTAGATCCATCTCTCTTGTGTTTGATGACTTTTTATTTTATGCAAGCTATTGAAATAGTTTTGCAGCACATACCTTGTTTACTGAACATGTCAAAATCCTTTAGTTTGTCCTCTTTTTTTCTCTCTGAAATGTGTGTGTAGAAGTGATGGCCATCCTTGTTTACACATACTTTCACTTGTGTCAGCCCTAGAGATGTAAACCAATCGTTAAAGGTTAAAAGGTTAAGTTCACAATATAAGGTTAACCAATTTATATAAGGCGTAAAATGTACATGTACATTTCTCAAACCTTGTGTGAAGTGAAAACTCTCCACATCAATTTGTCCTCCATCACAGGGATAGAGAGACTGAACTTTGCCAGCAACCTGTACCAGTTTTCCATTTAAACTGTAGCCTGTGAAAACCTGTGTGAATTATATAACCATTTAGACATTTCATTTCAAATTTAGCACCACCGAATCTAGACTATAGCCAATAAGCATTTTATGTGGAAATATATATTTCAGACATTTGTTCTCATCTCATTTGCTGGTTCTTGAGGCGTCTCTAGAATGTCTCTGGTCTTGTCTCTAGGTAGTGTAGCCGAGCTGGGTGTTTTGGACATGTTGTCTCTACTCTTTTTTGAGGACAGCGGAGTCTTCTTGTTTTCCTTTACGGAGTCGATTCTCTCTCCTACTTTCGGTGTTGCTTTTCCTCCTTTTTCTTTCTTAGTCTTTTTGGATTGTTCGTCCTCTAATCTTTCCTGCTCGATCTTCCATGCCTACAGTAAATACATGAGAAGAAAGGCCAGTGTAATGATCATGAAATCTGAAAATGTGTATAATATAAATATTTATATGTTATGGTTAACAGCTCACTTTGAGAGAGTCCTCTCTTATATACGGTTCTAATGTGTCTGAGATTGGGGAGTCTAAAAGAAATAAGCTCAGTTTTAAACATGCACATCATTAAATCCATAGTAATGTATTTTTAAATATCTAATATAGTTGATGTATACATATGTTGTCTATATGTTTTCTCTTGCTCAGAGACATATATATTTGACATTAGTTATGAATATGTTGCCTCTCTTCCTGTCAGTCTCTGAAGGGGTTTGAATGGGAATTCTTTCTGCCTCTTTCTTCTCCTGCTCCATCTGCCATTTTTCCTCTTCCTGCTTGGTCCATTCACTGATTGAGTCTGCCACATATTCCAAGTAGTTCCTACAGGAATATTACATTATACTGATATTATATTATATTATATCATATAATTCTGCATATTTTGTAACTGACATTTTTAACTGTAAATGTCAGTGTAGCATTTACTCAGTAGAATGTTCCAATATTGTCAACGTATTAGGAAAACAAAAAATGTAAATTCGTAATTAAAAATCTTGGTATTAGAAAAATGATCATTAAATGCGTCAAGCAAATTTTTAAAAATAAATTGGCTTTGGATGATTGGACCATGTAAAATTTTGATGATGAGACGAAGTACCTGAAGCCCACATCTGTGTGAAGTGATGCATCCCAGAATTCTTTGCAACTCCTCTGAGGGCTCATGGGATTTTGGCAGATGACATATATTGCATTGTCTCTGCAACAGTGAAATGTGTTCACACATCTATAAGTCTCACACGCAGACTGAAAGACCTGAAAATGCAGAGGGATTCCTCATTTGTCATTTTTACTGCAATTTCTAATAGATTTTTTAAATTATATTGCAAAAACATTAAACATATGGATACAAGATGAGATTTGAAGGTGAGTACCTGCGGGAAAACATAAGCACTGTGTTTCTCTACAAAGTTCCAGTGTCCCAGCTGACGAATCAATGTCTTCTGGAGATCTGTTACAGTTACTTCATGACCCTGCTTTGATTAAATTTATTAGTATATTAAAAACCAATCACTTGCTCATGATAGTGTCAATATAAATCTTTAATTTAATTATAAATGTTCAAATTTCAGCTTTTTTCTTGTCATACCGTTTGTTCATCAGTCCCAGCACTGCTTTTTGCTGATCCTTAAAAAATAAAACAACTTACGTGTACAACAAAAGACTTAAACATTGCTTTAAAAATATTTGTTTAGAATTTAAATGTATTTGAATCACTTAAAGTGAACTGTAATGGCTGCTCTTGTGCTCTCGTCACACCTGGTATCCTTCTGTTGCTCCAGTACAGGTGTTTGGTGAATTCAACAGGGTTGTCCCATGGTGTGGGGTTTGGAGGATCTGATTGAGATCCTTTAATACAGCCGCTCTCATCCACTGTAGTCAACGGCATGCTCTCAAACACAAACAGCTGGAGAAGCCTCTGTAGCTCAGACCAGCTCATTGACTCTGAAGATACACGTTAAGAATTTACTTCAGGAAGAATTGGACCGTAAGTTAAAATAAAAACAGTAATTCATTGTCATTCCTCCTCACTGTCAGTGCAGAAATGCAGTAGCTCCTGTGATCTGGTCAGTCTATCAATGGCGCTCTCAGCGTGCCTGGACATCAGGTTGGTCCACACATGGCTTTGCTTCATGATGTCTGCTTCAATTTTGATGACATCAAAACCATCTAGGACCTGTAACATATGCATAAGTGTACAACACTTTTGGTTGATAATTTAGAGGCCTTAGAAATTTACCTAAATATGATACAGTAGACTTTAGGGTTAAAACATTATCAGTGTATCCAAGAGGGCTAATGCACAGAATAAAACATTTGTGTGTGCTTTCAAACATTTTTGTGTTTGAATCTAACATCCTTTTTATTATGAGCCTTGTGAATGTATGTTCACATGCTCACAGGAAGCTGATGGAGTCTTCTCGCTCTCTCATCATGGTGATTGAGCAGGAGCGGGTGTTTCTGATCAGTATTCTTTGGGCTGTTGTGCATCTCAAGATTCTTCATGAGATCCTGCCATTACACAAGCAGAGATAATAGAAAAACTATAGTTAGATTTTGATTTAGAAACCCAGTGACTTTTTGCTGTTGTAGCATTGGTGTGATCCACATTTTACCTTATTGTCTTCTTCATCCTGTGGCAGACTCAGCACAGATGAGAGCATGTAACTGATTAGATCTTGATCTGTTTTATCACAGCGCTCTTCTGAATCATCAGATCCTTCCTGTTCTGAAGCCACCACCTAAAAATCTCACAGGAAGTCAAATTTAGCAGCCAAATCTTCAAAGAAATCAACATCTTGCAGCAGATGTGCCTCGTTCAGTAGGGCATGTGTACCCATTTGATTGTAAAACCTGTGTGCAAATGTTAATCAAAAAACGTTGCACATTTTTGTTTATTTTTATATTTATGTCTGTATGCTCATACAGTGATACGTTCAGCAGTCTTTTATCTTTTCAAATTGAAGGCTGTATTGAATCCTACAAAGTGCCCTTACCTGCTCTAGCATGCAATGCAGTATAAAAGGCACAGATGGGATTTCAGTAGGAATCCTGTCCAGTAGGTCACAGTAGAATCTCATATCCACCTCTGTGCTCAGAACAGGAGACTCTGGCTCTGCTGAGGAAACCCAAAGGTTCAATTTAAGAATATTTTGAGTGTGCACAGGATTTTGTGCTCTTACTTTAAATGACACAACATTAATTAAATCACAACTTTAATACATGTTATTGTTGTTGATTACATTTTGCATGAACGTCCATGGGAGACTGTGCAACTTAAATCTTACATTTCTATGTATATTTTATATTGTGCTTTTATTTTATATGTAAAACCAAATCTCATGAATAGTGTATCATGTCTTGTATACCAGGGTCTTCCTCTGATGCTACTTTCTTCCTTGGGGGTTGTACAACCTAAAACATAAACCATGAAAAATATCATCACCAAAAAACAACAACAACAACATGTACATCCTGCCACAAGAAGTCTCTTCTGAAAGGAACTGCATTTGAGAAAAAAACTGCACTTGCTACATTCAGGGTTTCTGCAGGTTTTTTTTGTTTGTAAATTTAAGACTTTTTTAAGACCAAGTAAAGAAAATTTAAGGAATAAATTGAAGGGAAAAATATGTTTTCAAAATGTAAAGGTCTAGTAATGAGTTGTATGTAACATGTCAAAGTTTAAAAAGCAACTTCCAACCAATCTCCATTACTTTTTGAATGTATTGTATCTTGATTTAAGGCTGATTATATTTGTAACAAAATACTGAGGAAGGTATTAATTTTTTTGCAATGCATGCAACATTTAATGCCATGACTTTATCAATTTAAGGCCATGAATTGTGGAAATGCCTTATCATATTAACAACACTACTATCTGTAAAGGCTGATGTGTACCTCAGTGGAGCTCTGCGGTCGGGACTGCTGGATGGATCTGCAGGTCTCTGGTACCTGGATAAACCTTATACAGCTGAGATAATGGCTGTACTGTCTCCTCCAGTCCATGCTGTCATATACAAGACATGCCACCCCCTCAAATATAGCAGCTCCAAATGCCAGCTATAGACAGTAGTGGTAGATAAAGTAATGTAATATGTGGAACCTTTTTTTTTTTTTTTTTT